GGTGTTATGCACAAACAATGAATCATGGAACACTACATCAAAAACTAATGATGTAATGTATGGTGATTAACATAACAATAAAAAACTTAAAGATAAAAAATATATAGCAGTAATAGAACAAACTAAGAGAAACATTTATTTTAAAAATTAACTTGCATGATATGGATTATTGCCTTTTTCTTTCTTATATGGTAAGAATTGAGGACTTCTGGACCTCCTGCTTTTTTATCTCTCATCTTATGAAGTCAGAATTAATATTCAAAATGTTGTCTCTCTGTTACATGAGATTAAATTATTTGGGGGTCATCTAAACTATTGGAAAGCATAGTTTCATTAAGAAGTGTTAAGACAGTTATATTCTTGGTTAAACAAAAATTATACTAACTGGAATATTTAGATAGATTGAGATATTATTGTGTCTACATATTTATCCAAAATCATGTAAAATTCATGATTTTTCACTCTATTTTCTCTAACAATCTAACATTTAGCCAACACTTTTTATTATGATTTAAGGAAATTTGCAAAATTCTGTTGTTTCCTACACCTAAGTACCAAAAAGCTGCTAAGAAATATGATGGACGAGCAACAAACTTCCTTGGATTATTTATCCAATCAGGTTAATGAGCTCATGAACCAGGTTCTCCTTCTGACCACAGAAGTTTTCAGAAGGCACCTGGATCCTTTTCCCCACAGGCCGGTTCAGTCACATGGTTTAGATTGTACTGATATTAAAGATACCATTGGCTCTGTCACCAAAACACCAAGTGGTTTATACATATTCTACCCGGAAGGATCTAGTTACCCGTTTGAGGTAATGTGTGACATGGATTACCGAGGAGGTGGATGGACCGTGATACAGAAGAGGGTTGACGGGGTCATTGATTTCCAAAGGCTGTGGTGTGATTATCTGGACGGACTTGGCGACCTTTTAGGTGAATTTTGGGTAGGACTAAAAAAGATTTTTTATATAGTAAATCAGAAAAATACCAGTTTTATGCTGTATATTGCATTGGAATCTGAAGATGACACATTTGCTTATGCATCATATGATAACTTTTGGCTAGAAGATGAAAAAAGATTTTTTAAGATGCACTTAGGACGGTATTCAGGAAATGCTGGTGATGCTTTCCGGGGCTTCAGAAAAGAAGAAAACCAAAACGCAATGCCTTTCAGCACATCAGATGTGGATAATGATGGGTGTCGCCCCGCATGCCTAGTCCGGGGTCAGTCCATGAAAAGCTGTAGTCACCTGAGTAACAACACCGGCTGGTGGTTCAACCAGTGTGGTCTAGCGAACCTAAACGGCATTCATCACTTCCCTGGAAAATTGCTTGCAACTGGAATCCAGTGGGGCACATGGACCAAAAACAACACACCTATCAGGATTAAATCTGTTTCAATGAAGATTAGAAGAATTTACAATCCATATTTTAAGTAATCTTTTAAATTGTAGTGTGCATTCCAGAGCTATTTTTGATAATATGGAAGGGATTTTACATAGTTTCTCTTTTTACTCTTTCAAACCTTTTAACCAAAATTTAACTATAGATGACATCTAGGTGTTGTTTAATTAGAAATCTTTACTTTTGTAGAATTTTATAAAACATGGCTCAATGTATGCTTTTACTACTAAGCACATTAACAATATGTAATAAAATTTGTTTTAAGTAAAAAAAAAAGTCAACATATTTTATTTTTTTATGTTATGTTAGTCACCATATATATAGTACATCATTAGTTTTTGATGTAGTGTTCCATGATTCATTGTTTGCATATAACACCCAGTGCTCCATGCAATATGTGCCCTCCTTAATACCCATCCCTGGGCTAATCCACCCTCCAACACCCTTCCCCTCTGAAACCCTCAGTTTGCTTCCTGTAGTCCATAGTCTCTCATGGTTCATCTCCCCCTTTGATTTCCCCCGCTGCATTTTTCCCTTCCTTCTCCTAATGTCCTCCATGCTATTCCTTATGTTCCACTTATAAGTGAAACCATATGATAATTGTCTTCCTCTGCTTGACTTATTTCAGTTAGCATAATCCCCTCCAGTTCCATTCATTCCTTGTTAGGACAAATAAGGAGGAAGACTCATGCAATACACCAATTTTGTTTATCTTTTCTTCTAAATTTGATTTTCCTAATCATATATGAATAGAATCACACTGTGGAAAATTGGGACAAAAAAACAGAAAAAAAATAACAATGATCATAATCGCTGTCACTTACTAAACACTTTGTGCATTGGGCTTCACATACATTACTTCATCTAATCCTCACCACAACTCTATGAGGTAAGGTAATATTATCATTATCATTTTCCAGTAAGTGAAAAGAGGCTTAAGGAGACCTAGAGATACCAGCCAAGGATAGCGCCAGTTAACAAACTTAAAATATCTGACTTCAGAACCCTCACATTTACTCATCTTCTACAAGGCAGCCAGCACTTCATCTAGTTGCAGGTTTCCCCCTTTTTCTTAATTAATTAATTAATTATTTTTTATAAAATATTTATTTATTGCAAGATACAGAAAAAGAGCACATGTGTGAGCATGCACACACAAGCAAGTGTGTGGGGAAGAGGGGTGGGGGGGGTGGAGAGAAGGGATTTTCCAGCAGACTCCCTGCTGAACCAGGAGCCTAAAGTAGGGCTCAGTCTCAGGACCCTGAGATCATGACCACAGCCCAAATCAAGAATCCCACGTTCAACCAACTGAGCCACCCAGGCATTCCATCTTAACTAATTTATTAACTTACTTAAATATTTCATTACATGGTTATACCAGGCACTATATTAGATACTGGAGGTAAAGAGGTAAGGACAGTCTTGGCCATCACTGAATTTTTATGCTAGCGGAAGTGGTGGACATTTTATAAGTAATTACAAATGTGATGTGTATAATAAAGGAAAAGTGGTTTGAAAGCTTGTAATAAGAGGGACCAAATGTAGCCTAGTGGACCACAGAATGCTTTCCAAAGTTATCTATCTGTGTAATTACATATGTATAGTTGAGTGTGCTATTTCCGAGTTTTCAATGTTACCTTGTTCATTTAACACTATATTCTAAGCATTTATAAGTAATTAAGTGTGATTGTTTTAACTACTTACATAATATTTAGATTTAGGAATGCATCCATTAACCATTTTCTATTATTGGATATTTCAGTAGTTTCCTATTTTTCTTTGTTATAAACAATAATATAGTTAACATCCTTGGGCATAAAGCTTTTTCTATATGTCTAATTATCTAAGGATAATTTTCTTAGGAAAAAGAATCCCCAAATTAGAAGGCTACAGATACCTAGAGTATTACAGTATCTCAAAAATACACTTGCTGAATAAGTGAATACAGACATGAATGGAAAAACAGAAAATTATCACCATTTCAGTTTGAAACTGATGTATGGTTGTTCTGAAGGGTAAAAATGAGTTTCTAAACAGTTCTTATAACTCAAGTTCAAATTGTCATTATTGACAGCAAAACTAAAAAGCAGTTAGCACCTTCATCAAGTACACTTCTATTTGTAATTTTTGTACAAAACTTTGCATTCCTTCATTAGCATAAAACCTCCTTTTTTTTTTTAAAGAGAGAGTGCACACACATGCATGCATGAGTGGGGGGAGGGGGGAGGCAGAGAGAATCTTAAGAAGGCTCCATGCTCAGTGCAGAGCCTGATGCAGGGCTTGATCTCACGACCCTGAGATCATGACCTGAGCTGAAATCAAGAATCAGATGCTTCACAGACTGAGCCATCCAGGTGTCCCGAGACCCTCCTTCTTAATCATCACTGCCTGGCATCAAAACGCCGAGTGCCACATAACCACAAATAGAAACTGCTAGTTGTGAGTTTCACACACACTCCCTGTTACTGCCACCAAGGGAGAAGGGTTTGGAGACCAGTTATGTGACCATAAACATGTTTCTTAACTCCTTAGGTTCCAATTTCTATATTCAAAAAATTAGGAAAGATATCTCTGGCTTTGTGGCTGTCAAGAGTGTTAAATGATAAAAGAGGAATGGTATACACATGCTACCTACCAACTGTGCATTAGGTACTGTGTAAGGCCCTTCTTATGCTACATAAAATGTCTAATCATGGTGACTCAGCCTTCAGATCATTTGTCAAGAAAGAAAAAAAATATGGGAGAAACAGGATAAGGGAATGATAGCAAAAGATACACAATTTCTTCTTGAGATGATAAAAGTGATCTAAAATTGACTATAATGATGGTTATACTTACCTGGAACCACCTAAAAACCATTGAATTGTATACTTTAAACAGGTGAATTGTATGATATGTGGATTATATTTCAATAAAGCTGTTAAAAAAAGAGAGAAAAAATAAGTTATTAGGCAGCAATATTACCCAATCAGACAGATTCTGGCCTATGCAAGGCTGCATTTTAACTCATTTGATAAGTATATATTAAGCACCTGATATGTGCCAGGAGTGATTCTAGATGGCAGAGATATAGTAACACACACAAAAAACAAAGCACTACCCTAATGGAGTTAACAATAAGCCAAAAACACATGCATATATAATAAATATCAGGCATGATAACTGTTATTAAAAAATAGAGAAACAGATCAGACTATTTTAAATACAGTGATCAGGAAAGACAGCTCTGTGGAGGTAGACTGTGAATGTAAAACCAAATGATACAAAGAAGCAATTGCAGCAGAAGAAATAGCAAATACTGTGGGCCTGAGACAAAAATGAATGTGGATATTCAAGAAACAGAAAAAATGCCCGTGTGCCTGAAGCATATTGAGTTTATTATCTATGAGTTCGTGTTCTGCAAGTCTGAATACCTGTTTGTACCTATCTCATGAAATGTTACAACTTTACAAGAAATAATTTGGAATTAAAGTACCACTTTGGAGAACTTTGGATATAACCAAAATTCCCCACTGTGGAGGTATCATAGAGCAAAAGGGAAGCAAAATTTCTAATAATCAATGGTCATTCACCTTTGGTTGGATTAAAAACCTCTTTATTAAAAATTTTTCATTAAAGCTTTATTATTGTGCAAAATATATTATCCAAAATATATTCATATATATGTGATATTAAATATATATATTCATTAAATGCTTCTTTGCCCAAAGCCAATGAAATATGTGAAAATTTAGAAATATTTCACTTTTGAATCCCTCAAAATCTTGTTCCTCTATTCATTGCCTATCTCCTACAATAGCTCATTCTCCCTCTGATAGTCTCCCAATTTTTCCTTTTTTATCTTTTCACCTAGATCTTCTTCCCTTTTCCCCAAATTCTCCTGGTCTTAACCCAACCTCCCCCCTCTGATTTTATCCTAAAGTTCATAATTTCCTTTAAAAATAAGATCACTGAAACAGGAATACATACTTGGCAGGTAGATTTTAAGATCTGGCCTTGGTCTAACAGATAATTATCACATATTTCCCCAAACTCTGAAAAGAAAAGTAGAAATTTACTGAAGGCTTTCAATAGTATTGGGAACGCAGTGTCCCAACCTCTCTGACCTATAATAACTAATAATGACTAATACTTGTGCTCATAAATCCATTTGATATTTGATGCTGAAGACTGGCAACAACAACAACAAAAACATCTTATTGGGAATATTCCCAAAAAGTGAAGTTATCCCCAAGGTCCACCAAATAGAATAGGAATTTTTAAAAGCACAAGATGTGGGGCAACCTTAACTGAGGATTATACTTGTTATATTTTCAGTAAAGAATGGCTAGATATTAATCCAGTCTTGCAAGCAAAGAAAGGGCAAATATATCAGATGTCTTAGAAATTACCTTTTCCATAACTTCGGTCAACATTCAGGATAGATCCACAGGCAGATGCTTCTGCTGCACTATTCTCACCTCTTATGAATGGCCTTAAGCTATAAATGCAGGACTTGGTATGCAAACAAATACTCAAATAGGAAATAGCTCTCCTAATGGGCCTTTAGCATTTGCCCAAACATATTGAGAGGGTCTTAGAACAAAAACAGAGTAAGACCCAAAAACAAGGTAATGGCTTTGCAAAATAAAACCACTGAATGGCCCCTTGTCAACTTGAGTTCCCCAAAACAAAAAATGCCCATAATAGATCTTTAGAATTATCCATGATTTGGGATGCATTGAAAAGAGTAATTTTTTCTAGGGGTGCCTGGATAGCTCAGTCAGTTGGGCATCTGACTCTTGATTTTGGCTCAGGTTGTGATCTCAGGGTCATGGGATTGAGCCCCACGTGGGGCTCTATGCTGGGCATGGAGGCTGCTTGGGATTCTCTTTCTCCCTCTCTCTCTGCCCCTTCCCCTACTTGCTCTTGCTCTCTCTCTCTCAATAAATAAACAAAATCTTAAAAAAAAAGAGTAACTTTTTCTAAACACAAGATGGATTCCTATCAACAATGATTTGGAGTCAAGGAACTTCTAGATGTTCCAATGCTGACAAAGGAAATAGCTACTCTAAAAGGCAAAAATTATCTTAAAAATGGATGACCTAGAAACCAAGAGACTAGCTCATCATTATGTCAAGCAGACAGTCCTTATAAAGGGTATTTGCATCTGTGATGCCTCAAACACCTAGATTTTAGAAGGGCTCAAATAAACCATTATAGAATGCTAAAATTCATCCTCAACACTAAAGAACGTATACTGGAAACTATATGAATGTAAGTTATATGGAGATAA